GGCTGCCCGGTGATGGCTGACAGCCGCCGCGGCCGGCTAAAATACGCGTTACGACTCTTTTCTTAAGAGGTTGACTTGGTTACCAGGCGTAAAATGAAGCTCACTGGGGTTTTTCTGTTTATTTTTTACTCTCCTGTGTTGCTCTGTGCACTGACTCAGTGTACGGGCTGTTACTTAAAACTGTTTCTCTCCCGGCCCCCTCGATGCCCTTTTAGCAAAGGGAAAGCACTGTTGAAAAACAGACCATCGCCTCCGTAGGACTTTTTTAATATATATAACAGATGCTTAATTGGCAGGGTTGGTGGCAAATCCTCTTCGCCCGCTTCCGCCGGCTGCCGCCTCTGAGGCGTGAAGGCGTTGGGCGCGGCAGCGGGAGGGCTTCCCCGGCGCGGCCCTGGGACGAGCCCACCTTGCGCCAGGTCCTGCTGCCGGTTCCCTGGAGCGTGCTGGCGAGGGGCTGGGGCTCTGCTTGGCTGTCGGGGTGCGCAGTGCATCGAGGCAAGAGTGTATTTTGCCGGGCTGGTTAAGGTCCCTAGCGAACTGCTGCTGAGTTAAGCAAAGTGCAGTAAGAGGCTGGCTTGGCGCTTTGGTTACTTGAGGTCCTTTCTGGAAAACTGACCTTATTTGTTGATTATTCTTCGTGGGCTCCAGGAGGTAAATGGTGTTCTCAGAGCTTTGTAGTGCATCCCTGTTCAGAGAGCAAGCACTTCAGTGGTGTTGCTGTGGCTAGTGGAACTTCAGGGTGGACTGGGAGGGACACTGATAGGTTTTATATTCCTCCTTTAGTTATGCTGTGGTCTGGACACGTTGATTAACTTCTTAGTATTTAACTGCCTCTTTCTTTAGTAAAATGGAACTAAGCTGTCCCCATCTCAGGGATTGTCGTGCAGCTTACTTTATTATCTGTCATGTGCTGTGAGGTGTTCGAGGTCAGTTTGAGAAGCAAAACATACTCGATTTGTAAGACATCAGGCCAAAAAGCTTAGCTTAAAGAGCCAAAGAGGATGGATTTAAACAATAAAGTTGGGTTGTGTAGAGGGATGGGATGACGACATTTCTCATTCCCGTTTGTGAGGAAGGTATCCACCTAGAGGGAATGGAAGGGTTGATAGCCAGGGAAGAGTATGCGGGCATTGCAACAAGTCATAGACATTTCTGCTCAAGACCTTTATTGGAGATTGGTTTCTGAATTACAGGATACCGTTTGTTGGAAGTAAATACTAACCGAAGTGAGTAAATCGTTGGTACTTTCATAAACAGTGAGTCAGAACATACATTTCTGTAACTGGTATTTCTCATAAATAAGCTACATATCTAAGGAAAAATGAAAACCAGCATGTGCGTTATGTTGGTGTGCTCAGGGAACTGAAGAACCAGGGTGGTCTTGAAACAGAACAGAGCGTTCCAAAAAATGATTCATGCAGTGAACATCTTCAGATGTCTCCCTACTGGCAGGTATTGACCATCTGATGTCGTGCTGCTGATCAGTATTTCTGTAGCAAAACCAGCAGTGTGCTATGAAGAAAATACAATTTGGAAACATTAAGTGTACTTCTGGCTTTGTGATTTAGCAATTGAGAGTGAAAAGCTGTTCTATAGGACGTTTCCTGGTGATTTTTTGATACATCTATAATTACAGTGAAGTGGTCTGTAAGAGGATGCTTTGGGACGTGTGCTGACCCATCATGAAGCAGTGGTGATGCATCGCCCTATGTGTGGGCGCTGTCCCTCGCTTTAGCAGCAGGGAGCCCTGTGAGTTCTGTATGCTGAACTGGTTTTGGAAATGTTTTAGCACTGGACGCTTCTTTGCTAACATCTGACAACTCGTGGGAGTGGAAGTGAGGATTTTCTTTACTTGGAATTGGAATTCCACAGCGCTTACTTAAAAATCAAACAGCTATTCTCCAATAATTGTATAACTGTCCCTGAATAACCCTGTATAAACAAATCTAGTTATGGAAATAAGCTTAAAACATTAAGGAATGAGATGGAAGGGAAAGAAAACAAAATTCCTATATGCAGCAACCCATGAATTGCAGGGAAGAGAGAAAAAGAACAAGATGAGTGAATAAGGGGTCAGCGTCCTGAAATGACTCCCAAAACACCGTGTATTCTTTCTCTTCTGTAGCATACAATTGCTTTTGCCTTGATTTGTTAAATGGGCTTGATTTATAGCAGAATGCTGTCCCTGCTATACTCAAGGCTAACTAGTGTTTCTGATCATCAGTGCAAAACATCAAGTACTCTAAAATCTACTTGTTTGCTACTACTTTTAGTAGTAGTATTGATCAGGAGCAAATAACAACTGCCTTATACTTGCCCTATTCCACAGAAGAAGAAAAAGCCTATCTACTAAATTTTACATTCCCTTAACCTTTATGCATGCAGCGATGTTCAGTACTTTTATGTACAGGTTGCCAAACACGCCGTTCAGTTTAAAACTCCCACCAAACTGTTGACAGTCCTCTTGGGGAGAAGAATTTGTCATCTGCTAGGGAGGCAGGCTGGAAGATGCAGGACCTCTCTCCCTTGACACATGGAGAGCAAGCAGGCATCGCTAGCCCTTCTGCTTTGTTAAGCTTCTCAGTAATGACTCTGCCTTGGTGCTCTAGTGAATTCCTCTGCTCTTCAGTGCTACTGCAGCAAATGTGCAGCTGATAATTCCCGCTGCCTTTTGTTAGCTCCCAGGGAGCTGAGAAGTTGTGTGAGAGTGCACGCAAACTCTTGATTATCCTTTTTCTGGTTGTTTTTATTTCTGGGTAGGGTTTTGTGTGTGTGTGCATGCCTGCAACTGAAACTCTGCTGAACAGCATGTTTTCTGTATTCCAGAAGTTGCATAACCTGAATGCACACAGACCTGAAGCACTGCACTTAGATGTTCTTCTTTCAGTTCAGAACCTGTCTATGGGACACTCATATAGTGCTGGTCTTGGGTACATACATATTCAAGTGCGAGGAGATACTAGAAGGAATGACTAGAGTGAAGCAGCTTTACATTAAAAAGATTTTATAAAGGAACTCCAAATACAAATGATTCAGAGGAAGGAATGTGGAAGCTACATCCAACCATCTTAACAGGGCCATTGTGGTAGGTGTCCCTTTCTTATGCTGCTTGGATCTGCTTCAACCATTTGACATAGGCTGAGAAACGATGAGTTTTTGAAGTGTTTTTGACAGCAGGAGATCTGTTTAAAAGTCTCCGGAGGCTCTTTTAATTATTGAAGTCATTAGTGCATGGTTTGTGTGGAGGAACTGAATGCCTGAACTTAATTTCTGAGCCATGTGCCTACCAGAAGGTGTTATGCTGGTAACTGCTCAAGTGTTGGTGTGGAACTTCTCAATTGGTTTTTAAAATATCTGTGAAACACCCCATAAAATTTTGAGAAGATAATTAGCTTGTAAGACCAGCACCAGAAAGTTAGTGAATGTCTGGATTAAACTTTCCCAACTGGCCCCAGTTTGATTTCATTGTTGGAATTCTTGTTGTAAGTAGTTGGACTTTGTAGCTGTGATTGAATTATATGCAGTGCTAATCAAGCCAAATACATATGTAACTGTGTCCTTCATTTTCTCAGTCCCTAGCCTGGGGTTCTGGAGCCCATTTTGCAGCAGTAGTGAATCTCCACTGCTGGTGTTAATGGGAGCTCTGCTTTGGGCATAGGAAATGCAATAGAATGTAGACTACTGAGACCAGTCCAACTTTGAAACATCTGAAGTTGGGCACTCAAAATTAGTGAATTTTTTTTTAGTCTTAAGCTTTGTTTTGGAAATACATTAAGATTAGGAAAGCATTTATATATTGTACAGATGGGCATTTTGGAAAATCTCACGAGGTCGTGAAATCTGTCTCCAGAGCAGTTTCTTCATTATTCAAACCATGAGTGGTAGACTAAGTCCTAGGTCCATGTGCTGAGCAATGGGAAAAAAGCAGAAAGTAATTAATCAGAATAGCAGCTGATTAAGTGTGTGCTGTCCATTCCTTGCACTGAATAATGTAGAGAGCTTGTAGAAATTGTGCCTCTGAAGACTGAGAGATACACAGGGTGTTGACTGAATGTTGCGCAGGTGGCATCAATTTTGTCACTTCCTACATTTTGAAGGCTTCTCTTGCGATCGTTGTAAGCAGTGTGTATGCATGCAGCAAAAATAGCAGGTTAAGATAGCAGGTGCATACCTGCTGATACAAGTGATTGAAGAGTCTGTTTCCTTGGAGGGAACTGAAGTGTGCGCTTTGTATGTATTTGTATGTATTTTGTTTTGTTAGATAGGAAAAGAATTTAACAGACTGCTACAGAAGACCATGAAAAAGATAAATGGTGATAACAGTATCAGTAGAAGCACTGTTTAGTAGGTACGTCACTGTCAAGGAGAAAGAGCAGTGTTTACATTTCATGGCTATAAGTAGGTTTTTTTCATCTTCGTTCTTTCATTTTTTCCTTTAATTTTACTTCACTAGCAAAATATTGACTAGTATGAATTGGACTACTAAGTCTTAGTAATTAACTTTTTAACAGGAAAGTGTCATTTCTTTGGAAGATTAGAGAGTTTGTTTATGGTTCAGAAAATACTGTAAAAGGAGTTACGTGGACTTTGCTCTAAAAAAGATTTGGTTTTCCTTCCTATTTGTGGTTGTCTCAGGTTGTGCTCTTCATATAGGCTACTTCACTAAAAGCATTAATTTAATAGATTGTTGGACAAACTGAAAGAAATCACTATGTGCTTATGGTGGAAATTAGTTGGCTTTCTGCTTTAGTTCAAATTTGGGATGCAGAAGTCTTTGCCAGCTATCCTTCTCTTTATTTTTCTTCTTTTTTTCTTTTAATCCGTTTAATACGTATAATCCCACGTAATCATTGTACTGAGTGTCCTGTGTAGTTACAGAGTCAGACTCCTCTTTGCTTTCTCTCCTTTTGGCTAATATTCTTTGAACTTGAGCCACTTCACAGGATGAAAGAGATGAGGGTGTGGAAGGCATGACTAGCTCAAGTTTGCTTATTTTGTCTTAAGTCTTTGCATCAGGTACATAAAAGTCACCATGGAGAGAATTACGGCATGAAGCAGACTGTTTGCTCTGCCTGACACTCTGCTTCGCTTTGAGTGACGAGCTGGGACAACATGCAGACACACGGCCTAGCTAGCTGTAATGTAAAAGTGATAGTGTGACAGTGGTGAGCATCCCTATGAGCTATACCAGGGTCCTGGTGGCTGTGAAACAGCTCTTGGTACTCAGTGTGACAGATTGAGCGAGCCCAGGTACACCGTGAGGTGGATTCGGGCAGTGAAACGTTAGAGGACGATGCTGGCTTGAAGTATTGCAGCTCTCCTTCAGCCACTTTGTGAAATTACAGCCCTGTCGTTTCGTATCCAGGCACGGTCTAATCCAAACAAAGACTTCAGTACCTCGAGTGTCAGTGGGAGGGATGATAAACTTAAGACATCGTTGGCTTCAGAGGCTTGTTCCGCTGCAGGGTGTTCCTGTCTGCCTTCCCTACTTTTTCCCACCTTCCAAAAAGAGCATTGCAAGCTCCTCCGTGCAGATGAATAGCACATGCTCCAAATACTGAACACGGTCTTTGCAACACACGTGAACTCTCCTTTCTGATGAGGGTAGGCCTGCTGGCCTCCAAAGAGGTGACTCCTCTCAGCATGCTTTGTAGCACTACATGCAGGTACTGAGCTTTTGAATTGGTGATTGAGCATCTGGCTCTTGAAGAGCTGAACCTTCTCCCTTCAGAATGACATTATTGGCATTTTTCCAAGGGAATGGCTTAGCTGTCTTTTGCCCTCAGCATGCAAGTTGCTGATACTCTTTGTTCTTCTCCTGACAGGCTGCTGATACCCTTGCTGTGAGGCAGAAGAGAAGGATCTATGATATCACCAACGTCTTGGAGGGGATTGATCTAATTGAGAAGAAGTCAAAAAACAGCATTCAGTGGAAGTAAGCAGTGTCAGTTCTGCAAATTTTCACGTGCTCTAGAGCAACAAAAATGGCCTCTTTCCACCACTTCTGACTAGATATGACACCGTAAAATTAATGTTACGCTCATCAATGAGCAATATGACATTCTAGAATCACAGTAAAGTTGTAAACAAACTTTATTTGTCTTCCCTTTAACTTGGGTTTCTGATACGTAAAATCAAGTTTAAAGTATACAGGAGAGAAAGTCAGAAAACTTGTACGGCTACTTTATAACTAGCACTTGTAGTTGAAAAATTTACTCTAGATGAATCTGGGAAGCGTATTGGGACACAGTGTCTCCACCTACCTACCTGCCTGTAGTCCATGCCTATTTTCTCTTGGGTGACTGAAGGTGAAAGCTCAAGCTAAGAGTTAGAGGGGAAGGAGGAAGGGCCTGCAAACCAGCTCCAATGCAGAAAAAGCTACATTCCAAAAGAAAATAGGTAAAGCGGAATCTTCAATTTTATTTGAAGTTAAGAATTTTCATTTTTCTGTTAAAACACTGCTGGGAGGGTAAACACTCATTTCCTTCATATTGAATATTAGTAGATTTTCAAAATGTTGAAAGTAGCCTTAAGAAATTATCTTTGCGTGTTTGCTTCAGATTTTCACTTCTTGTGGTTTCATGATCCCTTATGCCTTTTTAAGAGGAGTAGGTGCTGGCTGCAATACAAAAGAAGTCATAGACAGGCTGAGGTATCTGGAAGCTGAAATTGAAGATCTAGAGCTAAAAGAAAAAGAATTGGATCAGCAGAAACTGTGGCTTCAGCAAAGTATCAAGAATGTCATGGATGATTCTACAAACCACCAATATCCTTTTAAATGAGTTGTGTGCATCTTAGAACTAGCATTAAACCAACAGCTGAAGTGTAGGTAATGGGTAAAGCATAATGTAATCCATTTTATCCAGAAGCAAGGAAAGGCAAATATTTTTTCTGTTTTTTGTTCAAAAAGAAAGAAAATAGACATCTTATTTACACGACTTTTTAACCTTTGTGACTGTATGATTGGTAACCTGAAAATAATTTAGCACATACATATATATATGGCAGTAATTTTTAAGTCCAGTGTATAATCCTGACATCTTACTTTAAATGAATTGTATTGCTTTCCAGCACTTGAATTTATACTTTCTTAGCAGTGCTTTACATGAATCTTTTTTTGTGTTGCTTCCTTCTCTTGACAAGATTAAGCTATCACCCAAAGATAAGTTGAGTTGACAAAGTCCTGAAACCTGTTGGGTTTGGAACTGGAAAAATATCCTGTGTGTAAATACCCCATGAGCAGAGAGTTCCAGCTACATTGCTTGTAATCATGTGTTTAGCTGTCTTGCAAGATATTGAACAAAATAGACACCTGAGATTTGGAGCAGAAAAGTGCCCTTCTTATCTGTAGTACCAGTGATAAGTACGTAAAAATTGCTTGCAGTTGCTCTACAGAAACTGTTCCTGTAAAATGGATTTTGTAGAAAGGAGATTGAAGTTAGATGTTAGGAGAAACTTTCCTTTGGGAGAGCTAGCACTGGAACTGACTCCCCAGGGAGGTGGTGGAATATCCATCACTGGAGGTTTTACAGAAGAGGGGAGGCAAACGTCTGTCTGGAATGTCTCCACAGTTGATCCTACCTTGAGGCAGGGGAATGGGATGGCAGATGAACTCTCAAGTCCCCTCTGGCAGTATTTTCCTGCGATTCTGGGAAGTTGTGATATATACTTGAATTCTGTAGTGTCAGGTTAGTGAGGTAAATGGTATTCTTCAAAACAAGATTTTACATGTTCTCCTTTTTTAGGAGAATCTCATTCAAGCTACGCAACTTTTTTAGACAGAACTCTGCTATTTTTAACTAACCATTCTGAAAGCCAAAAACCATGCCTTGATTACACCTCTGAGTAACAGCAATAAGTTTATAGTTTAGGCTCAGTTTGGACAAACTTCTTGTAAAGGGCAAGAAATACCAGTTTCATGTTGCTTTAAGAAAAATGTTCCTTGACATAAACTACATTTTCGTATGTCACCCACGAAGATATCTGCAACTGCTTCAATGGTAAGTTGCTGCTAGGCTTTATTTCTTAAAGTGAGGGATTTCCTGATCTTCCTCCTAAAACTAACCTGCTTTTCCCCTGTAAGTATTTTGAATTTAGCAGTATTCAGCAGTGATCAGTTACTACTAGTGATGTCTCTCATAACATTCATGACTAGCAAGTTCTGGCATTTTCTAGTTGTAGTCGCAGATAGTATGGAACGGAAGCTCAGCTGTTTTTGGCTGTCTCTTTCTGTATTCATAGTTTGCAGCAGCTTGCCTCAGGCTGTTAACAGAACCAGGGACAGGGCATGTTGGTCCAACCCACCAGAAGGACCCATCAGGTCCAAATTCCATAAAATTTTCTGGTGGCAGCTGCAGCCAGAGGGAGCTCCTGCTGATGCTATATAAATGGGGCCAGCTGAAGTTCAAAGATAGGGCATCGGTACTGAATCAAAAGGATTCCTTCTGTACAGGAGGTTTGAAGAAATTGCCAAGAATTGCTGCAGAAGTTAGTTACTTCCCTTGATATCCTTTCCTCATCCTGGGGCACCCAAGGGAAGATTGGTGTTCAGCCTCTGGCTAGGCTCAAAACCATCTCTTCTTTGCCACAAGCAAGGTTGTGTGTGTTTTTGAATAGAAGTGCAAGATTAGACAACAACTGCAGAGTTTAGCAAAAATGAGCTGTTACTAAAAAGAGTTAGTCATGGCAAAATGTGGAGGCACCTAGTATGCCAGTCACATAGTGCTTCATGTAGGTGTCTCTTAGGAGGTAGAGAAAGAAAAGCATTTTTCCAAGCTATGGACAAAGGGGAAATGACGTGCAGGTAGGTGAGTGACCTGCAGTGTAAGGCAGGTTGTGCCAGTGCTGTTGAGGTAATCGTGATCTCCTGACTTTAACCAGTACATTTTGGTGCACATAATAAGCCACAGGCGAGTTTGATAGTCGGCTGTTACATCCCAGTTGTATGTGCTGCAGAAGCTGTGATGGACACTGGGAAGTGCTGGCCCCGAAGATGATCATGAAGACCTTTTCTTCCTTCTCCTGTTAAATCTCTCTGTACTACCATTTTTCAAAGCCATAAAGTGAGCTGGACCAGAGAGCTGTTTTAGCTGAAAAAGAAACTAGTTAAACAAATGCTTTCACCTCACATTATGTATGCAACTAGGAGATCTGGGGACAGTAACAAACAAGTAAAGGAAGTGCTAAATATTGCATTGCTATGAGAAAAGGTTCTTGCAACTATGGTCTAAGTATTGGAATTCTGTGATTTATATTATGCGATATACTTGGATCTTAGAGGGACTATGCAAGTCCCGCCACAAGTTTATTTATGCTAGAATTACACAGTATTTTTAAGTGGCCTTAGAGAATTACTTTATCTCATTTGAGTGGATACCATGCAAGACTTAAGAAAAATATGCACACTTAACACTTTCTTAAAAATTGCTATTTAACCAGGAGACACACTTCTAGCAATTCAAGCACCTTGTGGTACACAGTTAGAAGTACCTATACCCGAAATGGTATGTACTGGTTTCTTGTTTACCTAAGTGTTCTAGAGGGACAGTGGAAAAGAAGAGCTACCTTAGAGTGGAGGATTTCTGTCTAACTACATGTGAGAGGGGAAAAAATTTTTAAAATTGAGATGCTGTCAGTTGAGAATGGAGGGGATGGGTGAGAAAAAAATGTATTTGGATACCTGGATAGACTGTCTTCTATTAAAAAAAAAGATATAATAGTGGGTTTCTCTGCCCTCTCTTCTTATCTCTTGCTTTTAAATGTTGCAACTTCCCAAATTAAGCGTAATTGTCATGAATTCCCTTGAGAACTTGTTAGCAGCAACTTTTGTGTCAAATTTATTATATTGCTAAATCAGATCTTTTATGAAAAAAGCCTTTTAGATTTAGTTGTAGGACTAGTTTAGACTTAGTTTATGTTTAGTAACATGGTGCTAGACTGGGTAGAGAAACATAGACTGCCGTCTTGCTTTAGCCAGAAGGCTTAAACAGGCAGGATTAAAGTAGGAGGCCAAATTACTTACCTCTCTCCATCTTTAATTTTTTTTTGTTGCAGTGCTCTGTTTTAAATAGGGTTTACATAGTTGGGAGAGAGCATTGTGTGAAGCATGATAGCCACTATGCTTGTAGAAGGGTGAAATTCACCTGAGAAGTTTCACAAGCTATTTTTAGTGAGGCTAAGCACAGACTAATATCATAAGAGCATCCAAAGCTAGAACCATGAAGCCGATCGCAGTGATACTATCTTTGTCCATCTCTGCTGAAAACAGTTCAGGCAATGGTAAGGTTCTCTGGGGGAGCAAAGTTAGCAGCTGTGATGCTGGGGGGGTTTTGGCTTTTTGTCGAGGACTAAAACAGCTGATCTTAGTCTTCATCACCAACTTCAAATTGCATGTTTTTGTTTTGGTTCCCCTCTCCCGAGGCTCCTTTCCCACTTTTCGCATCCTCATTTTTTGTAGAACATACTTGCTGAAAACCTATTTGCTGAATTAGCCGCTCCGCAGTCAGCGGTCTCATTGAGACTGTGTTCAAGGAAGCTAGTCCTAGCTGTATTGCTTAAATAGCTTGCCAAAAGAAGGCCTGGCAAACCGGCTAAGAAATTGTTTCTACTGACTCATGATCCTGTGTTCACTCAGTCTGGGTGAGATATTCAGCTGTTTTAGGATGCCTGGTCCCAACTAGGATCATTCTGAAGCTCCGTTTGAAAGGAAGAGATTTAAATGTACAGAAATCATTATTTATCATTGCTGTTATTAATACGATGTAGTCCTGCTCTAAGTCTCATGTAACTTGAATTCAAGATTTAGTTGAGCACTTTGAAGAATTGTATATTTGTGTCTTCTGTAACTGTGTTCTGGTCAGGTAAATACATTACAGGTTTGTAATGTTTTGTTTTGTTAATTAGATCACATGTATTAGTTTTAAATTTTTTTTTCCTGAGTATGATTTGATAAGTTTGTGCCAATTCTCAGCTCTTCCTAGTGATCTAACTAGAAGAGCACTGTATTTATCTTCTGCATCAGTTTGAGAATTCTGTTCAAACATCTTAATTACTTTCTGTGGGACATAACTCTATGCGGTTACTGTTACATTTTGTAAAGTTCCAAGTTCTCAAGGAACAGTAACTTTCTTAATACACCACCTCTACAGGGACAGAACGGACAGAAGAAATACCAGATCAATCTTAAAAGTAGTTCAGGACCTATCCATGTGCTGCTTATAAATAAAGAATCAAGCTCCTCCAAGCCCATGGTGTTTCCAGTTCCTCCGCCCGATGACCTTGCACAGCCCCCATCTCAACCTGCAGCTCCAGTAACTCCCCTTAAACCTGCTGCAGCTCCTCAGAATCCACCAGAACAACAAGGTCTTAACGAAGGACAAGAGTTACCACAAACATCAGTTGCTGACAGGCCATCAGGTGGGTCCAGGGTTTTTCCTACCTCAGATGGGTGGGGGAGGAAGGGGACTGGAGGGAAGGAAGAAACCATTAGAAAAGGTGGTAGATAAAGGAAAGATCAAGAATTTGCATAGCATAGCATAGCGGCTGTCTGTTAAGAAACTACCCTGAGGGCTTACTAACAGCTCTCAGGAGGTTACAGAGAAGCCTCTTCGTCTTCTGTCTGGTGAAAGAGATTCTCCCCTAGTAGCTTATCATCTTATACCGAACAGGTTTTGGATGTGGTCCTGTTAATTATTCTGAGGTGCTTCTCCAGAACACAATATGAAATGAAATTGCCAACCTCTGATGGAGTATGTGATTTGAACACGTACCTTTTAATGAGACAGATAATACAGGCACCAGTTCCAGCTTTTGTGCCACAAGGTCACTTACCTTCTTCCACATAGCCACAGTGAGAGACTGCCTCAATATCAGGTATTTTTTTTCATAATAATAGTAGGGTAATATGAAAAGACTTAAGAAAATGCTGTCAGTGTTACAGACCGTGTTTCTGAGGGGTCCTGATTCCATTGTGCCCGTGACTTTGGAAGGATGAGACTCTTCTCACCTCATCCCAGACATTGGCCATGTTCTCCTCAAAAGACAAAGCTGTGTGCAGGCGTTTTTTGTTGCCTTTTACCATAACAGACCTTGTAACATGCCTTTCTGCCTTTGTAGACAGCAGCGTGCAGCAGAACAGTACAACCCCAGCAGCTCCTTACTCCAGCCTTCCAGAGTCGGTGTTGTACCCCAGCCTTTCAGGAGATGTCGCCCAAGCGACAGCTAGCTCAAATGACTACCAAGGCTTGCTGCCCCTGGATGTTAACTGTATTCTCAAGCCAAACTCATTCGACATAGCAAAGATGGAGGAGCCTGCAGGTAGGAAGAAGTAGTTACTTTTTAAATGTTTTTATTAGTTTCCTGAGCCCTTCTTTGTGACCATGCTACCGATGAATTACACAGAGGGAAAGATGAGCACTTTTCCCACAGAGGAAATGACAGGCCTTTGTTCATCTCCTAATGAAGCCACCGAGCCAGCTCTGAGTAGCAAACTCATTTTGAGCAAAATACCTTTCTCTGCTACCAAATAAGCTTCGTATTGTACATGGCTCTAGCGTTATAAGGGATCAGTGGGAGAAATCTATCAGGAAAAACTGAGGGATACAAAGATGAATGTATTTTACATATACATGCTATCTCCACAGCTCCTACACTGCATGAGCCATACCGTACTTTGCAATTCAGTGTTTTAATGCAGAGAATATGTGTTGACTTCCATAAACACGTGCTCCTGTCTTTCACAGGAAATATCAGTGGGGATATTATTGATGAACTCATGTCTTCTGATGGTAAGTATTTGGCATCTTTACTTTTCTAATAATCACAAGTAGCAGCATGGGTTTTGTGTGAACAGCACTCTTGGTAGGCGTCTGTTAAATCTGATGCCAAGAGTCAGTATGGAACTACTTCTTTTCCCCTTTCTCCTCTATCTTTGTCATTCTTGTCTTTGCTCCCCTTTCCATTCCCCGCAACAATTTCATTTAACAATCAAAATACGAAAGCCTTAATCCCGCAAGCACTTACATGCATGAGTAACCCACCAGTCCTTAATTCAGGAGCAAAGAAAGAACAGGCTGATGACTAGAGAGCTGCCTTAAAAAAAAAAAAAAATCTGGTTTAATTCTGTTGTGCCTCAGGCTTCCTGCAGGAGCTTTGAGTAAACATTTCAGAACATATTTACATGCCTGCATGCAGACTGATACATGGCCAGCTGTGGTACACGAACAGAACAGACAAACGTCACCCGTTTCTGCTCTTGCACCTCAGTGGCCGTATGAGGGCAGAACTGAACCCTAGTAAGCTCACGTGCTCCCTGCCTCTCTGCTCTGTCTCACTAAGGTGCCAGGCAAGGAGGTGAACTCAGCTGGCATTGTTCCTCTTGCCCTGTAAATATGCTGCTGTAGCAGCCTCTGCTAATATCTGCCCTTCAAGCAGACAACCCCAGGGCTTATGCAGAAAGAACCATGTAATTATAAGATCCGAGGGGCAAGATGGGATTATGTGAATGTGCCAACACATGGCTAAAATGGAAATAGTCTCCACTTCTAGAGCAGGTAGAGCACGCCCAGCTCATCTGCACTAGGTTAGTGTTCCTGAGGTGCAGCATGAGGGCTGAGGCTTCTCTTCTTGCGTTCCCTCCCCAAAGACAGCTTCAAGTCCATGCTTGAAATGCAGTGCACAGAAACTGCTAGCCTCCCTTTTTCATCTGTAAAATAGGGATAATGGTAACTTCCTTTCTTAAAATGATTAATATTTGAAGGCTGATATATGCAATGCTGTAACAAGATGGAGGACTACAGATATAAATGACGGCTTTCTGATGAAAATTTCAAAAGCTGCTCAGGAGCTCCTTTGCTGCAGAAGGAGAAATTAAGCCCATATTCCACAGTTATCACTCCATTCCAGCAAATTCACTTAAAATACTAAGCAAAAAATGTAGACATGTCACTTACTGCCTTAGTTTGAAGGCAATACAGGTATTCACAGTATGTATCCTAGCATGCTTGTCAGATTATCAAGACTATTTTAATTATTAAGACTAACCCTGATACTGGTGATGACAAACATACTGAATTATGAGATAGGGCTGATATTCCGTAAGTGTTTTAATTTAAACTAAACTATTCCTGCTTTACAGTTTTTCCTCTCTTACGACTCTCTCCTACTCCCGGAGATGACTACAACTTTAACCTGGATGATAATGAAGGAGTCTGTGATCTCTTTGATGTGCAGATACTAAATTATTAGATATTGTGTCAACCAGACTACTTATCTACCTCTAACTATAACATTCTAGACTTCTTCATAACCTAAGTATTTGAATAATGAATGTATAACTTCTTAGTTCACTGACTCTGGGAGTATATTTCCTTTTGCTTCCTTTAACTACTTCACAAAACAAATTCAACAACCAGAAAAAAAGGGCTTTTATCAAAATTTCTGGCACGTTTTTTCACCTGAGTGTCCTCTGTGTAATCCAATTATTTGGAGTTTTCTTTAGTAAGAAAAGTGAAAATGCTTTATAGCCTTTTGATCATTTTTTTGAAAATGATTAGGCTTCTTGCTCACAGTTAACAGCATTTTCTTTGAAGCTTTACTGCCAAGAAGCTTTCTATATTTTTTTTAACATTTCAATCAATTTTGAAGCTTTCACTGCCAAGCTGAAAAGTGAAGGATATCAACTTGAGTTATGCTAAATTGTTTCAGTGAACCAATTTTGTGAAGTGCCTTCTGTTTTAGCACTTTAAGTTTCTCACACTGACTTCTGACATTCCACTTTCCTAGGTAATAGGAAAGGTCTGTTTGTAGTTTGTATTAAAGTGTGCCAATACTTGTATATTAACAAGATTTTTTTAATAAAATTGTACAAACAAAGCCATCTGTATTTTTGACCTTCATTTCTTGCAATCCCTTCATTGTCCGTTATGCATTACAACTGAGATAATAGGCTTGTGGCAGCATCCACGTTTGCTGGTTCCTCTTCCAGATGTGTGGAAACCTGAAAAAAAATGAGTTACAGTTGAAAGTAGAAGGTACTATCTTTTTACTCTGCTTAAAAAAAAACTAATAAATACCTGTTGCCTAGAAGATTAGTTTGTCTTTATATACCTAATTTAGGCTAATTTGGGGGATTACAGGATTCACTACACTTGACAGATAAGCAGCCAATACTTTATGCTGCAGAAGAAAGACAAAGCATCATGCCAGTAACGTAACATACACGGCCAAATGAAAATAGGCTCAGGAAATGCTCTCAACAACATAATTTTCCAGCTTTGGAGAAAATACTATTACAGCCTGAGTGATTAAATTCAGCATTGCATCATGTACAGCGCTATCAGCACGTGAGCAGTGATACAGACCAAATTGCTGGTTTGCTACTGCAGGCAGCCAGGAGAGATCGGGACACTGGCACCAGCTGCCTTGAAACCCTTGTTTGGCCTCATCCCATGCTGGCGGCACTGTCACCTACATTTAATTTTTCCCTCAGCCTCTCCTAAGATATTTGACACTCGTTCTGTCGCTCCCAGCCATACAGAAACTTGATCACCCCAGGCACAGTAAATAAAACTCAACTTGTGTCCACTTCTCCCAACTCCCTCTACTTCCCCCAACAGCCAGGATGGATTCATCTGTACTTCGTTCTGGCCTACGGCTTTCTCTCTCCCCCAAACTGTGCCCATGACATCGGGAAGACTCAGCATAAAAAGAGTTTATATGGAGGAACTTGTCTGCAATTAAATTCTGTGAATTATTTCTTGCTCAAGACTGCATGTAGCCCTGTTTAATAGAGTAGACGAAGATGAGTGAAATGCTGTCTTGAACCCCAAGTGGTATAGGCAAGAGCTCTAGTACTGAAATTGCTGTTTCAGGTGTTGGTACTTCTGATGAGGGAATATGAAGGCTTAGGAATCAGGAACAGAAAGAGGCAGAGCTATTTGGTTCAAAGCACTGTCAGGTGCTTCAAGTTGGAAACAGCAAGGTTCATCCTTACTTTCTGTGTCTATTTGTGTTGAAGCATAAGTCTCAAATCAAGGGGTGGGAGCTGGAATTAACTTTAAAAAAATGAATTAAAAACCAGCTAGAACATAATTGAAAAATATGTTTTGGAAGCATGCTCTGGCTTGGCTGCCCACCCTCTTCTCTCTTGACTTTAGTAGTTATATAGCACTTGAATATGCTAACCAGATTTCAACATTACCACACAACTGAAATTAATAAAGCTGGGTTTATAGCTTTAAAGCAACTGCATGAATTGCCTGCAGTCTTAGAGCCAGAATATAATGCTTTGAACATGCATTTTCCTTTCATTTACCTCCTCAGATTTTTACAAAGGGAAATTACCTGATGACTCTTCTGAGGTTCTGCTGCAGTGCCTTTTGATAGCTGCTGTACTTCTTTCTGAACTTCAGCAAATGCTTTATTTATTGTATTAACTTTCTCAGCATTTCTAATGTTTATCTGTGAGGGAAAAAAAAATACACACATTGGTATTTTGAACTGAAATTCCATTGGCATGTGAAATTGCACCATTTTTGTACAACTGTTATACAGCCAGTGTTACACGCATATCTTCCAAAATTGCTTTTTAGGAGGTATGTTTTTAAACTTGAGTTTTATCTGTTACTTAGTTATATCATCTAGTCATGTACTACTAATAAATTGAAAATTATGAAAGCAGATAAACTTGTTCTACTGGAAAGGGCGCCCATAGTGATCCAGAAACAATACAGAGAAAACAAAAGCCAGGCTGTGGACAGGCCCTGCTATGCCACCCTCAGCGTCTCTTAGCTGGAGTGGAATTCCAGGAAGGGCTCCTTCCTTCATTTGTAAATGATCTTACCATTCTGAATTTCTTCCAGTAGTTTGCCTTTCAGCATCACACCTTGCATTCCTACTTGTTCATACTGTATGTCTGGCCAACAACGTTTGTCAGATTTTGCTATGGTATTTAAAGAAACTTCTATGGCTGTAGCAGACCAGGATGTGTATCTATCTGGTCCCTGGACACCTTGGCCTCGCTTATTAGCCCAAGTCTGCCTTCGTAAGTTATTTCAGCAAAGATGCCTGCTTTTGAAGGGGAAGAGCTAAGATCTGGACGTGTGCTGTGCTCTGGGGGACAATAATCTGTCGTAGAGGAGCAGGGTGGATGTACCGGGCCATCAACTCTTTCACCACTGCAGCAAATTAAAATTCAGCTGATCTCAGCCCTAGCACCTGTTGCTTCTGAAGCACCAAGTTTGGAACAGGATAGTAGCCAGATAATGGCCTATTACATTGCAAATGTTCCAGAAGCACGCTCATACTTCTTCAGGCAACCCCAAATTTCAGGATACCTACTGCTGTTCCAAAGGCTACCCCTGTAATTCACCTCTCAGCAATTTACATAGGCAGAAGCAAACCGTGAACTGTTACACGTATTCATTTTGCTTTCAAAGCTTCCATAATTTCAGAGCATGTGCACATTAACAATAATTCCATTTATTCTAAGTGAGTGACCAAGAGAACCAGTAGTAAGAAAGCAGTGGCAAGAGGCTGATAAAACAAGCCTATTCAGATTAGCAGTTTAATTCATAATAACCTGGATGGTAACTTGAGAAACATGGACTCAGCTCCTAGCTCTAATCAGAGCGGATGGGACTGTGGGTAATGCAATTTACAAAGAGCTTAGGTTTCCCATTGGGGCTTGTTAGAGTTTAGCTTCACAGGAGTGCTGAAAGGATCCAGTCAGTTTTAATATCTGATATCCTCAGCTACGCTGGCAGGACTCCGGGGAGACCTTCTAGGGGCCTTCCAGTACCTGAAGGGGGCCTACAAGAAAGCTGGAAATGGACTTTTTACAAGGGCATGTAGTGATAGGACAAGGAGTAATGGCTTTAAACGGAAAGAGGGTAGAATTAGATAAGATACAAGGAAGAAATTCTTCACTATGAGGGTGGTGAGGCACTGGAACAGGTTGACCAGAGAATCATAGAATCGGCAAGATTGGAAAAG